AAGGAGCAAACCTGTTGATTACTAAGTCTGAAAAACCTAGGCAGTCCCCCACCTCCCAAAAATGAAGAAGGAAAACTTTGCAAGGTTACACTTGTCCACTTTTTCAAAGGCCTGACCACTCCTCCATTGTCTTCCTAGCCTGATTTTAAAAAATACAGCCAGCAGCAAAAACGACCTTTTCTGTGCTCGGCACTGTAAGTTTTGATATGTATATAAATTCGTAGAGTCCCCATTACAACCAACACCGTGACAATAAACATTTCTGGCTGGGTGTGATGGTTCACACCTGTAATCCAGCATTCCAAAGATTTAGGCTGGAGCATCACCGGTTTAGGCTGCACACAGTGAGACCATGCCTCAAAACCAAAGCCCCAAACAAGCAACACAAAGCCACCTCTGTGTCTACCCTCTGAACCCTAATTGGGAAACTCACTTCGTTCTGCTGCCCATCTGTACCATCCTGACTTTGAGAGGCGTCTTCTAAGCAGAATCCACCCCATAGCCTGGCTCCTTTCACTCTGCCTAACGACTTTGAGATTCATCCAAGTTTCTGCATGATTCAATAGCTGGTTCTGCACAGCGCTGAAGAGAATTCCATTGTTAAAGATGTTCCACTGTTTGTTTCTCCTTCCCACTTGGAGAACATCTATATTTACGTCGTTTCCTCTTTGGGGTGACTATGAATAGAACCAGTTATAAACATTTATGAACAGTTTTACTTGAGATCTACTTTCAGTAACGTTTGTTTTTCTATGGTAAATATGTAGAAGTGGGCTTGTAGATGTGGTGATAGATAAGTGTTTAACTTTACTTAAAGACTGTGAAGATTTTTTTTCTTTAGTGACTTGATGTTTTACCTTCCCACCAACCAAGCACTAGCGTTCTAGACATTGAATCACTACCAACTATTTGATATTTTAGTATTTTTTATTTTTACCACTCCTACAGATGCCTTGATTTTAATTTACCTTTCCTTAAGGGCTAGTGAGATTGTGTATCTTTCATGAGCTATGTTCCATTTACACATACCCTTATTTAGTCCATTTTATAATTTGATTGCTCCTCACTCTTCAAACTTGCTGGATCTTCACACATGCTCAATAGAAATCTTTCATTGAAATGTGATTTTGTAAATATTTTCTCCCAATATCAAGCTTTCTTTTCATGCTCTAAAATGTCTTTTGATTGGCAAGCTTTTTATTTGAGGAAACCTATAAATTTCTTCTCTAATGGTTCAAGCTTTTACTCTTTAAATTTTTTCTCCTTTGTGTATGTCATACGCATGCCTGTTTGCATGTGTGCAGGCTCATTTGAATATGTGCATGCATGTGGAGGCCTTAAGTTGATTTTTAGTGTCTTCCTTGATTGCTCTTTACATTATTGATTGTGGCTGCATATCTCTTTAGACCCAGAGCTCATGCACTCATCTAGTCTAGCTAGCCACCTTGCCCAGGGACCCACTATTTCTTCCATGGAGTGCTGAGGTTACAAGGGGTTGCATTTCAGTGGATGCTGGAGAGCTGAAGAAGCACAGATTTCTCACTCAAGTCATGAAGATTTTTATCTTGTTTTCTTCTAAAGGTATTATGGGTATGTGTGAAATATACTTTTGTTTGTTCAATTTGCTTTTATCTTGAGAGAGAATCTCACAATGTATGGCAAGTGGGCCTGGAAATTGTGATCCTCCTGCCTCAGCCTTCCAAGTGCTGCGATTACAGGACTACACTGTGTCCACACATAAGTGTACACTTTGCAATTGTGTTTATAATCTATTTTTCAGATGGATAATATATATAGTGGATTATATTGGCTGATATTCTATGTTGCTCAATGTAGTCACAGGATTAATTCCACTTGGTGTGTGAACTGGTTAGGTTTTGGTTTGTTTGATGGATTCTTGTGGAGGGGTGTTTTAGTCTCAACTTGACACTGGCTAGAATTAGTTATCTGAGGAGAGGGAAACACAGTTGAGAAAAAGCCTTCCATAAGACTGAGGTCAGCTTGTGGCCTTTCCTTAATTGGTGATTAATGGGGTAGGAACCAGCCCATTATGGTTAGTGCCACCCTGGGCAGGTAATACTGGGTGCCGTAAGAAAGCAGGCTGAGCAAACTATGGGGAGGAAGCAGTGAGCAGTGTTCCTCCATCTTCTGCTTTAATTACTTCCTTCAGTTCCTGCCTTGGTTTCCCTCAATGGACTGAGGTCCTGAGTATATAAGCCAAATAAACCTTTTCCTCCCAAGCTGCTTTGCTTATGGTGTTTTTCACAGCAATGGACACCCTGAGTAGAACAGTGTGGTGTATTCTTACTGTACATTGTTGGATTTGATTTTTATAAAGAGTCAAGACATATATTTTCATGATGAAAACATCTATCTGTAGTTTTTTTTTTTTTCCATTGCCTTTAGTTTCCTTACCAAGGTAATGGTGGTCCCTAAAATGGGCTATTGGGCAATATTTTTTCCTCTCTCATTTTCCAGAAAAGAGTTTGTAAAACTGGGTTATCTCTCCTGTGTTACATGTTTGGTAGACTTCACCAGTAAAACTGTCTATAGCTAGAAACTCCCTGTTTTTGTTTTTGGTTTTTTTTTTTTTATTAACTAAGAATTAAATTTTCTTTAAATGTTATAAGACTCTTTCGATTATCTGTCACATCTTAAAAGGATATTGATAGTTTGAGTTTTTCTATAAATTGATATAGTCTTTGGTTATATAAGTGGTCTTTCATAGTATTCCCTTATTATTTTAATATTAAAATTGTTTGCAGCAATATTTCATTTCCTATCTTATGTTGGTAATTGCTGATTTTTTTAGTCTACCATTTATATATGAACTGTTTGTGTTTTATTGACTTCCATCACTCTCCTGTTTGCAGTTTCATCAATTGTAGCTCTGTCGTTTCTTGTTTCTTCATTCTAACTGCTTTGAGCTTATTTCATTGTAATTTTACGTTTAAAAAAAATGGCACTGCTTTATTTCTGCCGGCAGGCAAGGGTTGAGGGGTGTGGTGGGCTCCGTGCAGGTGTGGATGCGGGAGGAGGTGATGACCTGATGGCTGGAAGGGAAATAAGAGGGTTGGCATTCATCTGGGAAGCCTGAGGGAGGACTCCTGGCAAGCTATAGGTAAGCCTCCAATAAGGCTGAGAAACTCTTGGAAACCTAGCTGCCCCTCAGTGTTGAGTTTCAGCTTCTTCATCAAGGACACCAGGCTCCCTCTGATTCTTTGTGAAAGCAGCCATCTCTGTGTTCATGAAGGCAAGAATCTCAGTTTTGGAGAGTTGGCAGCTGTTCCTATTCTTTCCATTCTGCTATTGGAAAACAGCAATCAGGGACTCGATGCATCCCTCAGTCTCTGTAGGCCTGGGCATTTTTGCCAAGTTGAGGAGTGAGGTCGGGCCGCGACTGTGGCTGATGGGGGCTGGGACACAAGTGGCCTCTTTGAGCCTATTTTAATCTTCTTTCTGTAGCTTCTTGAATTAGACCTTTAGATGACTGATTTCAAACTTTTTACTAATATAAATTTGTATTGCTATAAATGTGCTCTAAGTACTGCTCCACCTGAAGCGCAGACACTTCAACCCACAGACGAACTTTCCAGATTTACTTAGAATCAATATTTTATCAGATGAAGAGGAACACAGAAACCTCACTACCACCTCGATTCCTTTTCTTGTCTTGCTTTGTGTAGTTCTCATTTATTACATCTGTATGCACTCAAAATCCCGCTAACTTAAATTATTGCTGTTAATCATCAAGCATATTCAAAACTATAGACAGAAGATTCTTTGAGGTGTCTGCCATGTCCAGTCTCCTTCCTTATGAAATTCTTTCCAGTGTTATTTCACTAGTTTCTCAAGAACTCTCCTCAGCTGTATTTCCTGGGGAGGCCTCCTGACTATGGATTCTCTCAGTTATTCTTGTGTGACAATGTTCTTATTTTTCTTAATTACTGAAAAAATATTTTTTTTGTTTTTTTGTTTCTTTGTTTGTTTGTTTGTTTGTTTTTGAGCAGGGTTTCTCTGTGTAGCCTTGGCTGTCTTAGAACTCACTCTGTAGAACAGGCTGGCCTCGAACTCACAGAGATCCAATCCACCTGCCTCTGCTCCCGAGTGCTGGGATTACAGGTGTGCGCTACCGCACTGGACTCCTGGAGATTACTTTTATTGGTTATAGAAGTCTTGTTTAATGTGTTATTTTTTTTTTCTCATCAGTGTGTTTGAAATGTTTTTTCCTGGCTGGGAGATAGCTTAGTTGGTAAAGTGTTCACTGTGCAAACAGAAGGGCCCCGGCTCTATCCCCAGAGTCCATGTGAGGGAGCCAGGCATGATGCCGTACCCAGTGCTGGTTTTCCCGAGTGGCTCATGATCAGCTGCTTCTTTACATGACACATTTTTCAGGATTATATTCTGGACATTTTCAATCTTTTTAAAAGTTATTTATTATTATTATCATCAGTACCACCACCACCACCACCACCATTATCATTAGTGTGTGTTGTGTGTGTGTGTGTGTGTGTGTGTGTTATGCTTTGTGTGAATGTGAGCATGCGTGTTTGAAGGTCTAAGAACACTTTTTATGAGTCAGTTTTATCCTTCCACCATCGCTTCCTGGAATCACACCCAGGTCATCAGGCTTTCACGGCAAGCACTTTTTGCCACTGAGTCATTCTGCCAGTCTGACTGACCTTTTCAATTTTATGTTATGAAATTGTAGGGTCTTATTTAAACCCTGCAATGTATATTGACAGCTTTGTTTTAACAAGCAATTGATGTTGAATTTACGCGTTCCAACCAGCCAACTCTGATTATGATTCCAATGTCAACCTAAGTTTCAAAATCTGCTGAACCCTATTCAGTTCTATCTTTAGCCAATGTACAGTCAATGATCCTGGCTGTCCAGGGTCCAGGTCATGGTCCTGCTGCTCAGCAATCAATGTCCATGTGATTTAACATCAAATCAAGGGTGAGATCACAAGTTCATGAACAATTTTCAGGAGCAGCGATCCAAACTCCCGGTGTCTCATTTGTTTGGCGCCTCCTGGTTTCCCAGGGGTCCTCTCTTTGGGCTCCTGGTTGAGAAGCTGCGGTTTGCTAGATTTGTCTTGTTTTGCATTTCCTGCAATTATCCCCACATCTTATGCCAATTGGTACGAGAACACAAAGTGAGAAAAGAAGTGGGAGTCTGAATTCTTTTGCTCCCACAGCCACTCCAGCAGACAAGGATGCCTCTCGCAGAGCCTTGGCTCCTAGAGCAGCCACCGGGGTAGAACTTCTTGGGAAAGCAAAGTAAATTAAAGGTAAGAAACAATGTACTGGCCCCCCTGGCCACTCTGAGTACTGGGAGTTCACTCTCCTGTACTTTGGGCTGGACCTGGACCTCCTGAGCCCTGCTTATTTCTCCGTGTTCAGTTCTGGCTCCATGTACCGTTCAGTTCATTCCAGGGAATGCTAAACGGGAGAGGTATTAAATTCATCATTTTGGTTTTCTTTTCTACCTTCCTGCTATTATTTACTTATTCTTTCTATTCTTCTTATTATTTTTAAGGCACAATCTTGTTATATATCTGAGACTGGCCCAGAACTCAGTATGTAACCAAGATTAGACTCAAACTGGCCATGCCCCTGACTTAGTCTCCACAGTTATGGGATTTCAAGAATGTGCCACCATGCCCTGCTTGTTACCAACATTTCAGAGTCAAGTGTCCCACACATTTCTGCCCAGTGCTAGTGCTTTCCTCAGTGGAAGAAAGCGGGGAGTTCGTGTGCATATCCAATACACTAGAGTCTACCCTACCATGAAAAAGAAAGTCCTCTAAGAGCAAAAAGGAGATGCAGTTCTTTAGCCTAGGTTTCCTCTTTAAATGAAAGTTTAGACTTATTACTGCTAAGAAGAGGAAAAATATATGCGTGGGCAGAGAAGGTGGGACTCTCCTGTAACCATATGAGACATTTTAAAGCCAAAAAAGAAGAGAAAGTTTTTTGAGCTTTACTTTTACAGGGCTCTGTTTCACCCAGTACCATCTGTGGGAAAGGAAGTAGGAAGTGAAAGTCAGAAATTAAAATAAGTTGTGGAATCAGTAAAAGACTAAAGAAAGTTTGACTGGGCGAGCTAACACTGACTCGGGAAAGGGAGAAACACAGTTTGCTCGCTGGGAGATTTTGTCCCATCTCCAAGATAGGGTTGGAGGAATTTCCCGTTTCCATTTACCCTGCTCACAGCCCGCCACAAAGAGCAAGACTTGAGTTTGCCTAAGCCTACGCTTGAGACAGAAATAGAATCTTTTTAACTCCTAAAGAGGAGCAAGATAGGACACTCTCAAGGCTTCCTTTCTTGCTTATTTTTGTGGGTTTTGCTGTGTGTTTACGGCCGTCCTTGACATCCCTGCCTTTGAGCCACACCTCATGTGGGTTCTTGCACTTTTGTGTTCACAGGGTTAGGTCACCGTTGAGCCTGACCTCTACACAATGGGCTACTGTGTTAGCAGGCTTCAGTCTGAATGTATTAATTTGGCAGTGGGTGGGGGAGGGTGGGAAGAAGGGATGTGCTTGGGGAAATTTTCAAAGTTCGATTTAAAAAATAATAATTCAAGGCCTCACATAGAGACTCTTTTGAGAATCTCGTTTTCACAAGTCCTTTCCTTTAAGTGTCTTTTTAAAGGACTCCTGACCTATTTCCACTGAGGTGAGAAACACAATTTCTCCCACTCTTCAGGGGCTATGTGCTAAGGAGAGCATTGGTGGGTACAATTTTTAGGACGAAATAAAATATTAATCCCACATGAGAAGCCACATTTACTGTGAAACCAGCACTTTCGCCTGGAGCTGACCCTCACTGAAAACCCAGAGAAATCACCCAGCATGAAGGTGATGCTTGCCCAAGGTTCAAAGTCCCTCCTCTTCAGAGCCTGGCGGGACCCGGAAGTTTGAACTCTGGGACCTGTACTCCGGTCAGCTTAACAGCCCACCAGAGTGCAGGCATCCTAGCATTCAAACATTATCTGCTCTTGTTCTCACCCTGAGCACCAACCTCATCTATTTTAATGACTTAATCACATGGTATCTTTTACCAGACCTGAGAATGCTAATTCATTCATGTCCAGAATGCATTGGACTGCCTGTTTTGGTCAAGGTATTTTTCCACATTTATATACTGGGAATAGAGAAAGAACAAGAGAACTCCCCACCTCGGGGAGACTACATTTGAGTGGAAGAGGCAAAGAGTAAACAGCCTGACAGAAAGACATAATGCAGTGATAGGAGCAGTGAGGCACAAACCAAAGATGATAAATGGAGCGGAGTGGTTTGGGATGAGATGGTGATCTTTAAGTGGAGGCGTTAGTAAAATACAGTGAATCAGGCATGGTGGCTCATGCATTTAATTCCAGCAGTTGGCAAGATGAGACAAGAGGACCTTGAGTTTGAGACCAGCTTCCATTACACCATGACACCTAAAAGAGGCAGTGGGCTCCTCAAAGTGTGAGACCATAGAAAACAGAAAGATAAATCCTTAACAACCAAAAAGAGTTAATCCGGATGGAGTTGATGAGGAAGAAGGGACATGCACAGTATGTGTAGATTGCTGGGTTCCAGTTCCAACTCAAAAAGGAAGCTATCCCGAAGAATTCTGCCCCAGTATTCTTCGAGTATCCAGAAGGAAGGAAAGCCTGTTAGGTATATTTCAAGTGCCAAGAACCTCTACTAAGGACTCAAATGATAAGAGATTTGGCTTGCCCCCAGAAGCCTGAAAACAATTCACTCAACAATTTGCAATAATTAGGAAAGGACAGGTACTGTACAATTACTCATAATTGTGGCCTGGCATGGAACCTGGAAAAATGTCCTTGGACTTATGTTCCTAGGAGAAAATTATTACTATGGTGTTATTGTTATTATGGTGTTGAATCAACTGCTCTTGTCACCGTCCTGGAATACACTAGGACAGAACTGGCTGACCTGCCTTTGTGATGCATTGGGTACTCTTTCTGCTGTTATTTTATTTTTCGAGACAAGATCTTTCTGTGTAGTCCTGGATGACCTGGAACTCACTCTGTAGACTAGGATGGCCTCCAAGTCAGAGATCCACCTGCCTCCAGGATGCTGGGGTTAAAGGCGTGTGCCATCTCACTTGGCTGGGGCCTCTTCTTAAAGTACAATAGACCTTAATCTTGGTTCTCTTCCCTTTACATACTCTCTTCTTTGTTCTACTTATCTGACTTCTTCTAAGCCAAATAAAAATAACCTCTGTTCCTATTGATGTGAAGTTTGCATATATATCCACATACTGATCCTGATCTCTAAACTCATTAATTCTAACCTAACTGCCTCCTTGTTGTCCTCTTCAAAAAGCTGACAGACATCTCAAACTCAGTGGATCCAAACCTCAGTTTCTAGTCTTCCTCATCTGGTCAATGATGGCTTCACCTGTTCAGGATCCGAATCTGGAAATCATGTACTCTTCCTCTCTCTTTCTACAAATCTTATGTGGTCATTTGAATAGAAATGGCGCCCATAGGCACACAGATTTGAATGCTTGGTCACCAGGGAGTGGCACTATTAGGAGGTGTGGTGTGGTTGAAGTAGGTCTTGTTAGAAGAAATGTGTCACTGGGGGTTGACTTTGAGGTTTCAGAAGCCCAAGCCAGGCCCAGTGGCACTCCGTCCTCCTCTTTCCCTCTCTCTTCTTCTCTCTCCCTCATTCTCTCTCTCTCTCTCTCTCTCTCTCTCTCTCTCTCTTTCTCTCTCTCTCTCGCTGCTGCTTGCAGAACTTGAAGTAGAATTCTCGGCTACCTCTCCAGCACCATATCTGCCTGTATCCTGCCATGATTCCTACAATGCTGATAATGAACTAAACCGCTGAACTGTAAGTTAACCCCTGTTAAATGCTTTCCTTTGTAAAAGCTGCCTTGTTCATGGTTCTCTGTGCAGCTATAGAACACCAACCTAAGATAGCTCATATGTGACCCCTCAGCAAATATCACTGGCTCAGTCGTAAAGATTTCCTCACTTTATTGTTGGTACATTTCCTGGCACCAGTCTGCTCTCCACCACCGCCTTTCTTACACGAATTATAAAGACAGCCTCCTTAGGGTTGGAGAGATGGTTCACCAGTTAAGGGTACTTGCTGCTCTTGCAAAGGAACTGGTTAAAATTCTCAGCACCCACAAGATGGCTCATAACCATCTGTAGCAACAGTGCCAAGGGATCTGATGGTCTTTTCTAGCCTCTGTGGGCAACAGGCACAAACATGGTATACATACATACATTCAGGCAAAATACCCATAAACATAGAATAAATTTTAGATCTTGAAAAAGAATAAAAATAGCCTCTTATCTGAACTGTCTTCTGCAGTCTGTTTACAAAAATTCTGCCACATGCCTTGAATGCTTATCCTTTGCTCAGATTCCTGCCATGGTGCCTATATTGGTTATTTTTCTTATTGCTTTGACCAAATGCCTGACAAAAAGCTACTTTAAAAAAAGGAGGATTTATTTCGGTTTATAGTTTAAGAAGAGTTGCACTGTATCCTAGCACGGCAGGGATGGCAGCAGAAACAAGTGGTCACAGTGACTCAGCGGTCAGGAAGCAGAGAGTGGACAGGAAGTGAGGCCACACTGTAAGACTTCAATGCCCCACACTAGTGACCCACTTCCTTCAACAAAGCTCCAGCTCCTAAAGGTCCCATCACTGCTGAAACAGCGCCACCAACTGGAGAGCAAGTGTCCAAACATCTGAGTCCATGGGGGGACATTTCACATCCAGACCACAAAACTGTCCCAGTTGAAAATAAAAAAAATAATAATAATAATAAAGAAATCCTGTAACAGTCTCCAACTGTCTTCCCCTCTATTGAGTGTCTGGCCTCATATCAGTTCCACTCTCAGTATTGACTTACACCAACTATACTGGCCCATTTGCCTTAAGCTGTCTCCTGCCTTCCCATTTCTCCTTCCCTGGCTATGCACGTGGTTGATTTATTCTCCATCTTATCTTTGTTTAAGGACCACTTTCCAGGTCACACCTACCTAAACATCCTATTCAAAACTGCAATCTTCCCCTCACCAAATACCCTGCATCTCTGTTAGCTGCTTAATTTTCTTGAGTAGCCCTTATTCTCTTCGAACATACCTTGTGATTTGTTTGTTGATTGCTGTTAATTGACAGTCTCAAGGGATGGGGTCCACAGGATGAGGAGTTCTGTCTGAATTGCTCACTCACAGAATCTCAAGTGTCTAGATGACTGTCTGCCATGCAGTAGGTACTTGGTGAATAATTGTTCTGTGAATGGGTTGGTTGTTTC